AGGGTTTTCTGAAGGTCCATTACTCTCTGGAGTTCCCTGGCATATGCAGGGTGGTTCTGAAGCACCAGGTCTGACACTTTTTTGGAAACCTGCAATTGACATAAATTTTGAGACTACTAATCTGATATGGAAGACAAAATTCTGTGAAAATATGCCATTATATTGATTGTTCTGATTCTTACCACTTGCAGTTGCTTGCGAAGCCTCGTTCTATCTAAATCAATGTCACCTAAATCCAAAACTTCTGGTAGTTTCTACAAATAATTTGATACATTAGATAAACTTAAATAATAATAATATTCTAATAGCATGCTAATAATTATAAGTCTTTAGAAAGGCTGAATATAAAGAAGCAAAATTTGAAAAGAATGCATAATATTTTATTGCATGTTATGATGATTATGTTTAGCCATGTCTGCAGCTTGCTGTCCTTTAGATAAACAGCATACACAAATACCCACCTTTTACATATATAAATTCAGTAAGCTTAAGACCAGCATAAACTTTAAGATGAATATGCCTTCTGATAATGGCATAGTGATAACTGACCTTCACCTCTAAATATGACCTTGCTCTGAAATGAGGCCTTCGATTTTTTCACTGTCCAAAAAAAAAGCCTCTCAAACTCAAAATGTGACTACTTTCAATTTGTAAACAGAAAACCAGCAAAACAATCATGGAAACAACAATATGCTTCAAGATGCTTGACTATGGCACATAGAAATAATCATAATAAGGTCTGTTTATATTCTATATACAGTGTATTGTAGTTAAATTAAACCCACCCTCAGTTCATAATGACTGGTATCTATACCCTCCGTGTTGTAGTAAATCTTTTCAATGCCTTCCAGTATTTCTTGTTCTTCATGAGGATTACTTGGTTTTACTTGCTGAAAAAAAGAGTAGACATTTCAAACTGTCAGGGCTGTAGCTCAAAGGAGTATATATGATAAGAGCCAATTTTGGCCCCCTAAAAATCAACATTTTAGAATGATGTTCAGATATGTTTAATTGATATTTATTTTATAGAAGAGATTATATTAGAAATATTTCCAATATATTTTTCACATTTATATGCACTCACTAGCTGTAAATGACATGAAAAATAATGCTATTTTTGCAATCTAACAAAAAAGCCAAAAATATGCCTTTTTCTTGATGTTTTTTCTTATGGGAAACATAGAGCGCAGTGTAGAACATACGTAATTTTTCTGTCACTAATTAGTATTGGATAGATACATCTTTGGTAAAAATATAAATCTTGTTCTAGGCTGTGCTCTATATTTTCTGGAAGAAAAAGCTGCTTGAAAATAAGCAGTTTTATACAAAATATCACTCTGTAGAAAATGGACAGAATGTGTAAGAGACTAAGAGTGTAATGCACCACTTCCTTTCAATTTTCTATGCAAAACTTTTGGTGCTATGTTTTAAGATAAAATGCATCTCATAAGTAAAGAAGTCCAGTGATATACCGTAAAACATGCAAAAAAAAAAAGCATCACTTCATATGTTTCATGTTATACCGTGTAGCAATAAACAAAATAAAAAAGAGTTTAAGATTGTACCTTGTAACTGGTAACAACTGGTCCACCTGAGAAAGAATCATGGGTAATTTCTTCTTCTGAGGGAGACACTAGCGAGTCCTAAAATAAAAGAATCTTGAATACTACTCTGATCAAAATAATACCTGTCACATGCATATTCTAATAATTTAATTTTACTTGTAACACGTCATTTGATTGGATAAAAGATTTTATCCATTTTGTATACATAACTTTCCTACGTCACAAGGAGTTACGTCAAAAAACGTATCACTCCACTTGACGTTACTTTTAAAATTTAATCAATGTGAAGCCTAATCTGGGGGAAAAATTATCTCATTGTCTACACTGAAATTATATTATAAGGAATGAAGCTTATTTCAACTTATATTATACAATATAACAAAACTTGAGGCAGTTTACACTTTTTTATAAACCGCTTCATGGTTCATAAAGCATAAACTGCCCCAAGTTATGTTATATCGTATAATATAAGTTGAAATAAGCTTCATTCCTTAAATAAAGTATATGTAAGGACACTGTATACATGTATGTGAATTAAATGGATCTATGTAGATGCATTGGTTATCATTAAATAACTAATAATTCATATTGCACCACCTAAATTTGAATAGTAAACGTTTACAGAAAATCTTCTTTTAAATACACTGTCACAACAAATAAAGAGCTTCTGGGTCAGTTTACAAGCAGAAGAAATAAAGGAAGCAATTTTTGGAGGAAAAAAGAGAAAATATGCATGTGCATTGCATTATGTACTGCCTTTCCCTTGGGCATAATTCAGATATTTTATCTTTGTTGAAATTTCTTACATTTATTTTACTCTTTTTACTTTAAATGGTTTGAAATGGGATCTAATGATGCATTAAATCATATACATTTTTGAAAAGGTCCTTATGTCACAAATCTTTTCTGCATCAACCAAATGGGAATTTAGATAACAGTGTGTTGACATTGCCAAAAAAAAAAAAAATCCACATAAATAGATCTTGATATGCAACTGTTAACTTTTTGCAAGAATTTTAGACAATATGTTGGATCAACATTAGCTGCAGATCTGTGGCTCTCCGGAAAAAATATTCATTTGACAGACTGTAGAGCTACAGTGCCACACATATTGCAAAATGTGTATATCTATTCCCCCCCCCCCTAAAAAAAGTGAGGTTACTCAATTTATTTTTCCACGTTTTTCAAACTGCCTTCTCAAAATCACTCGGAGTTCCTCGGATGACTCCTACCACGCACATAACCTCGGACGTCAACGGTGATCTACCATCTTGCTGATTCAGTCATGTGATCTTATTTAATTTTTTTCAAATGTCATACATTTGAAATCGAAGTTATTTTGTGGCACACTCAACAGATTTTTCTTGCTTTTGAAGCCTACTAACATGAGGTTGTAATCAAAACCTGTTTACGATAAAGAATTGCACAAATTAAGAAACATTTTCGAAGAACGTTATGCAGAGCGAAATATGAAATAAGTGATATGGCAATCTCAGGCGGAGAAATGTAAGAATCTGAAGCGTATTCCTCCAATAATTACATCAGGGTCCGCTTTTATAAAACATGCTTAAGTCTGAGAATGCTCTCAAGTCTGAGAATTTTCTCAAATCCTAAATTCTCAGACTCAGCCGCCGTCATAAAAAAGTTGAGAAAAATAAAAATACCTTAAACTCTTTTACTCTCCAATTCTCAGCTAAGTAATTCTCAAGAGTTTAGGTTGAGAATTTTTTTTGAGAATTCTCAAAGTTTTATGACGACAGGCCCCGAGGTTTGAATGGAGCGTAGCGCAGTCAGCCGAGGATTGCCGATTGTCTCAAAATATTACTAAACATGTGTTATTAATATTTTCTTTTTTACCATTTCCACAACATTTAAAAAGTTAAATCTAACTTTTGTGCTGTTGACGGAAAAAAGTGAAGAAACATACATGTTAACCTATTGTGATGAAAAATAGGGAGATTCAAATCTCAAAAGCGGTAGCATTGCCCGCGCGTTGTTTTACGCTTGGATTATTGATATATTTCACGTAATATACATGAACATGATGAATGTAGCCTTAAATGAAACCTACAATAATTAATCTTAGATATCAACTGCACTTTAAAGAAGAAGACAGAAACACCTTAAGTTTGACATAAATTTTACAAATTCAAATATTTTTCATATGCTCTTCATTTTGCTTGGATTGGCTGTTTAACTTAGCCTTTTGAAGAGTGATCTTTGCTGATATAGCCTAGAAGCAATAATTCTGAATGTTCATTCAGTTGTTAAACAAAACAAATGATGACATGGTTTAACCTAGATCTAAAACAAGTTCCTATCTTTCGTCATATAAATCAGATTTCCCGCGATGATCGAAAACGAAAGTAGAGATGTGCCACATGGATTGGTCAATCCAGTGATTTCTATTGACTTTATTGATAACATTGTGAGCTCCTGTGCTTTTATAGACGATGTCAAACGTTTTCATCTAATTCTTAAAAGCTGTATCTCCTTTTTCATGGCAGTGATATTGACTAAATTTATCGTAACCAATGTAATCAGTGGTAATCTTGTGCTGTTGTCGTTGTCAAATTCGTGCTTGAAATCTATGTACACATTGATACTAAAAAAGCATTTGTATGCTTCCGAGTCAAATCACGCGATATCTAACGAGAATTTTTTGAGAGTGGCTTCAAAAATGGATACCCAAGCGAACCAAAAATACTTTAGACGCAACTTTTTTAGAAAAGCGGTAGATTTCTGAATTAAATCGGTAGGCGGGAGATGGAGTGAAAAAGCGGTAGACTCCCGCCTAAATCGGTAGAGTTAACATGTATGGAAGAAATCAATCCAGAACCGAGCACAATTTCCGCGTGCAATAAATAAAGATTTTTATCTATGGCCGGTGGCACTGTAGCTCTTTAGTTGTCCTACTTAAAATTTTCAGATCAGCGAGCTACAGATCTGCAGCTAGATCAACTGCTGATCAGTGAATGTTCTCAACTCTATAACCATGATAACAGTAAGGATTATATTATTGATGAAAAAACAAAAACAAATAACTCTCCTTAATTTGTTATTTTTACCGAAGTATAAAAAAAAATATTTCAGGCCAAATTATTTTTCCTTCATTTTTTGAAATGTAAATTATATACAATATTTGGTATTTTTAAACATTAACGGGATATTACATCCCATTTTAAATGTTGGCAAGGTGGACCTAACCTGTTCAAAATAAATTATTCTGAGTAAATTCGAGCTACTTATTATTCATGTTAACTGCATCCAATTTAAGGAGTAAAATAAATTTGTAACATTACCTGCTTCTTAAGAATAGACTTTAATTTATTCTTCAAGTCCATTTTGTGGAACAGATGAACTACATGCTACCAAATCTTTTTTTCGATACGCCTGTGTTGACAAACAACTAGGAGTAGACAACTCACCCGGAAGTAAGACTACAGTTATCGTTCTTGACCCGGGAAATAAGCAAACAGAAAATCGCAAGTCTGTCAACATGATCAGTGAGAGCGATGAAGACGATGTTGCTGTAACAGAGAAGTATGTGAAAAATAATGACACCTTAAAGAAATATGGATGGGCAGGTAAGAAAATACAATGTTTATCTTTTTCTTTAATAAAAATATGAAACTTTCAAAGACAATTTCAATAAATCACAGGAGTCGGCAGTTTTATCAATAAACTAAAAATAAAGTGAAGCTCATGGCTAAGATTTTACTGATTTTCACTTTATTTTTAGTTTATTGATAAAACTGCCGACTCCTGTGAATAAATCAAGCTCAATAAGACAATATTCGTATACCAATTGTTTGTTTTTCCCATTCTTTGCTTAGATTTGCCTTTAAGACAATACCAGTTGTCAGGAGTAAACTGGCTGATCAATTGTACAAAGAAGGGACATGGAGCAATACTTGGAGATGAAATGGGCTTGGGGAAAACGTGTCAGGTTTGTATGTCACAAATGTTTTGTTTAAATAAATTTTCCTTTCAAAGATTTTCATTTATATTGGGACTAAATCAGACGCCACCACTTGAAGAAGGACTGAACATTTAGACCTATACTAGGCAATCAGCGACATTAAGCACTGGGGGATCTTTTTGGTGCCTGAAACTACTTTGACATAGGCCTCAGTTTATCCAGTCTCATCCAAAGGATCGGTCTTCACATCCCACAGTGGGATTCCAACCCAATTGACGGTGACAATATCCTAGAATGAATTGAGAGTCTTGCTAGGGATTAATCCAGCTTTGCTAGAGGTTCATTAAGTGAGATACATTTGATTGATTTGAGGCTAGGGTAAATATATTAAGGAGCATAGGCTTCCTTATTTAGGTGTAGTTAGGGATGCTTGAGTTGGCATCTTAGGGCATTTAGACATTTAAAGAGGAGGGAACTTTTTAATATTTCATCTGGAAGCCATTGAGCTAGATTTATAGAACAGGGTCCATTAGTATTGATCAAGGGGCCAGATATGTTTTCTTTCTTCCTGTTGCACATGGATACATATACATGTATATATATAAACAATAAAATTTGTTATTTATTTTGTAATATTTTCTGTTTATACCTTTCAGACAATAGCTTTCCTAAGTTATTTAAAGAAACCAAATCAGCAAAGTGTGGTTGTCTGTCCAAGATCAGTGTTAGAAAACTGGGCCGAAGAGTTTAAAAGGTCTGTATCAATTAAAAGAATTTGGGGAACAGAAGTATTTAGAATTATATATACTTTGTATTATCAACATAAATTTGCGACAATATTTTTAAAAATTGAACTATGTTTTCTTTTTTAAATTATCTGAAAAAACATCCTTTGAGGAAATTGCATGCCCATGTACTTGACTTAACTTTTGAAGTAGGGAGACATGAATGTCAGCTTGTGCATATGAGGAATCTCTATCAATTACACAAGTGTTTCTCTCTTTCAGGTTTTCACCAACTATGAAGATACAAATGTACATTGGAGATAAAGACAAACGATCAGAACTGGCAACCAAAATCAAGCATGATCTGAAAAAGGGGAGACAACCATTTGATGTTCTTCTCACCACATATGAGGTAATGATAAACCATTGTGTTCAACTTGTCAAATAGGTCGATGCATTTGATAAGGCGTAACAAAAAAATATGTTTGTTTACGGTTACCCGACCGACCCTAATTTTAATCGCCGACCCAAACTTTTTTTTTTGTCGTAAAAATCCGGAAGTTACTGGCCGGTCAGTTTAACTTTTACATTCATCTTTGAAATCGAAATTGAAAGTACAGAAACAAAAACCAGTGAGTTCAAGTTCTACATCAACGAGTTCGTTGCAATTTGCTTACCATTGTGTGGCAGTTGCAGGGGTGTGCAACTAGCATAGCCCGACGCCCAGTGCTACCGTTTTTTGGGGTAGTAAAAATTAAAATTATGCATGTATAACGGTTAAATACATGAGAAACACAAACGGTATTTTCACTCATTGTTTTGCTATTTAATTTCCAACTAATGAAAATTTTCTAGGCAGCATGCTCCTAATGCTCTTAAATCACTTTAATCTTATTCATTTTGCAGTACTACCCGATCTATTTACTTAAAAAAACGATCGTTTTTTCCTAATCCGAATTTTCTCCATTCCTCTGTTAATGGTAGCTCTTTCAATATTATATACGATCCCCCAATCAACTGATAGCTAAGTGTTATGTGGTTAAACTTTAATATATATCAATTGTATTTAATGGTTTGAAATGAAAATAAAATGATTTTTGCTTCATTTAAGTTAAGCTAGACTAGTGCAATATGTTCAGAAAAGAAAAGATAATTTCTTAAAATTTTTAACTTCAACTTTAAAAGGAATGGCTTGGGACCCTGACTTTCTCAACAATGAACTTTTAAAAATATTAGTTTTTACAATTTTTTGCCCCTATATTTGGACTGGTCACTTTTAACTTTGGACTAGTAGTAATTTACTTTCTTGCTGTTACAAGCCTGTGGGCTAGTGCTTGGTTTTTTTTTAATTGCACACCCCTGAGTTGTAAGGCAGTTGGCAAGAAAGATTATAATTGTCTACCACCCATATTACAAGCCCAAACAAAAGTAAGGCACCATACAATGGTAAAACTGTTTTTTAATTCAACCAATTCATGTGAATTTGTATATAAAAAAAATCAATAAAATAAAAAAAAATTCCTACCTACCGACCCTATTTTATTTCAGCATGTAACAGTAAACAAAGTTATTTTTTTGTTTGGCCTAACATACTGTACTATGCTGGTTTGCCAACTTTAAAGTAATGAATATGTATGAATAAATTTGATGTACATTATGGCAATTTTGTACTCGATAATCCTTCTTATCAATAAAAATAAAATGCAGACAAAAATTTATAATGATGGCAGTGGTCACATTTTATTTTTTTCTTTAATCATGCCCCCCTTTGAAGAAGGGAGGGCATATTGCTTTGCTGCTGTCTGTCGGTCCACTTAGTTTCCGTTCATTTTCTTTGCAACCGTTGCACATACTGAAATGAAATTTGGTATACAGATATATCAGATGAATATCTAGATCAAGGTTTGTTTTGGGTACGATTGCACCATTTTTGACAGAGTCATGCCCCTTAGACTTAGAAAAATTCCAATTATTTGCTGTTTCCATTCATTTTCTTGGCAACAGTTGTACATACTGAAATGAAATTTAGTGTGTACAGATTTATCAGATGAATATCTATGTCAAGTTCTGTTTTGGGTACAATTGCGCCATTTTTGCCCCTTTGGACTTGGAAAAATTCCAATTTGGGGGAGGGGGGCATAAGTGTTTTAAAAACATCTCTTGTTCTAATTTTGTTTTGCTAAATCTTTAACTGTTTTCCCAGCTATGCCTGAAGGATGATGCTTTCCTGTCTTCTGTGCCATGGTGTGTTATTGTTGTGGACGAGGCCCATCGTCTGAAGAACAGTGAATCTCTACTTTATCAGACTCTCTCTGATGTAAGAACAGGAACTTATGAGAAAGCCATCAGTGTCTGATTTTCTAACAAAAGATAACCTTTATTTAATATCTAAATGTATTAAAGCTAAATGAACATGCACTTCTAGTATTCAGAGTAAAAAAATAAGGCTTTCATTACATTATGTTACTGGTGCATTTGTTATTGTTACTTTACATTACTGTTATTATAATACTGATAATTCATGTAACTGTTATGTTACTGTTACATTATACTACTTTTATGTTACTGCTACATTACACAAGCCTTTTATTTACAGTTGAGCATCAAATAACTGAGTCTGTAAAACTGGGACACCAGTATAAAACAACTTCTTACATTACATACCCTTACATTACATACTGTTACATCACATACTATTACATTATGTAATATTACATTACATAATATTACATTACATACTATATCATTACATATTATTACATTGTATATTTTACATTGTATACGGTTATTACATTACACATTGTTACATTACATACTGTTACATTACATTCTGTTACATTACATATTGTTACATTACATTCTGTTTCATTACCTATTGTTACATAACATATTATTATACCTCTACTGATTTTTTACTATATAAAAGTAGATCGATATATTTTGCTGATTTCCTGAAAATCACAGTGAATACATTCCCTGCAAAACAGACTATTCCCTGCAAAAAAAGTAGATGAACTGATACACACCTATTCGGAACACTTAGCATTTTCTTTCAACTTACGACAAACTTAAAAATGTTCCGAGTAAACTCATGAATATTCATTAATGAATTGAAATGCATCACGAGTCAACTGGTCCCATATCAATCAAAAAAGAACCAGTTTACTGGAAGCGAACGACAACAGAAGTGGCGAGCTCAAGATTTGCGTAATGTTACTTTAGATTTTACTAAGTAAAAACTCGGACAATGAACTGATTTATTGATAAAATGGAATTTCTTTCATGACTGTATTCTGTTTTGTCGTATATTTTATCTATTCCTGTTGGAATTAAACATTGTTACAGAATACAGTATTGAACATAACTTTTTCAAATGTCTTGTTTGTATCGGTATAATAAAACAGTTAAAGTATATCATTTCAGGAGTCAGCAAGATTCCAGTTCCCCTCGAGAGCAAGCCTATTTCCCTCGGCGCAAGCGCCTCGTGAAATAGACTTGCTCTTGGGGAACTGGAATCTTGCTGACTCCCTCAATGATATACTTTAACTGTATACTGTTACATTACATTCTGTTACATTACATATTGTTACAATACATACTGTTACATTACCTATTGTTACATAACATACTGTTACATTACCTATTGTTACATAACATACTGCCACATTACATTCTGTTACATTGCATATTGTTACATTACATACTGTTACATTACATACTGTTACATTACATATTGTTACATAACATACTGTTACATTACATTCTGTTACATTACCTAATGTTACATTACTTATTGTTACATAACATACTGTTACATTACATTCTGTTACATTACATACTGTTACATTACATTCTGTTACATTACTTTACAGTAGCCTTCTATTTACAGTGGAACATAGATTACAGAGTGTTGTTAACTGGGACCCCAGTACAGAACAATCTGGATGAGCTGTACTCCTTACTCAGCTTTGCTGCTCCAAGAATGTTCCGACTCTCAGGGCGCGAAAAATTTGTCAACAAGTACAAAGATGTTGCCAAAAATAAAGGTGATCAAGTCCTAAACTTTAAATTTATTTAAGTTGATGATGTTCATATATTATGTAAACTGAAAGCTCAAGTAAACCAAGATGTTGGCTAAAATAAAGGTGCTCAAGCAAAATGTTTTAAAAGTATAATTAGTTCATGCCATTCATATTCAACATTGTGAAACTGAAAGCTCAAAGATGTACATATTTTATAACACATTGTAATTTTAATATTTACAGGAACATCAGAACTCCATGAGGTCCTAAAGCCTTACCTCCTACGTAGGACCAAGGAGGCAGTCCTTAAAGACCTTCCCAGGAAGTCAGAAATTGTGATGTATCATGGGATATCCAAAGTCCAAAAGAAACTCTATAAAGCCATCTTAACTAAAGATACAAGTAAGTGAATATTAAGAGTTATAAAAATCCATCCATTAATCATAATTTGCTAAAAGATTTTAGAAAACATTTGTTAGACATAAATGGTATAATCTCGAAATTGTGCATTAAGTTTCTTTATATATCCCTTGGAAAAATTACCGAGTAGTTTTAACCCTGTATGCTTTGTGTTTCAGGTGTTTTCACAGACACAAACAGACCAGGGGGAGGTTCTCCCAGACTCATGAATATTCTAATGCAGCTCAGAAAATGTGTCAATCATCCATACCTCTTTGATGGTCTGTATATACACTGTATAATTATATAACTTCCATATTCATGCCAATATTGAACGATTTTATGTCTACATCTATTCACATGCACAATGTACTAAGTTTCTTCTTTATATCTCTTCAGTCATTTATCACTATGAGTTTATTAGGCATTAAATCTAATCATGATAATAATTGTTTTGTGACAGGCGTTGAACCAGAGCCCTTTGAGCTGGGAGAACACCTGGTTGAGGCCAGCGGTAAGCTGGTTCTTATTGACCGGTTACTGAAGTACCTACAGACCACTGGACACAAGGTCCTGCTCTTCTCTCAGATGACCCACATGCTGGACATTATACAGGATTACCTGGGATACAGGGGTATGTCAGAAGTTATTTAATATCAGAATTTTTGTTATGCCTTATTTTTGTAAGAAAGTCATATGATGATACAAACTTTTCACAAAACCTGGTTGCATATAATCTTTGACATTCAAAATATACACATGAAGGAAATTTTCATGGGCAGATAGCAATGCATAAGAATCAAGTTAACACACTAATGAAATATCTGCTTGTAACAGGATAGGAATTTCTCAAAAAATGCATAGAGGTTATGAGTTATTAGATGTAGATAATGAATAAGGGATATAAATTGCAACAATCAATTAAGAACAGCATACATGTAATAAAAATAAGTATAAAATAAAAACTATAGATTATCACAGATTTGATGAGAAGTAAATTAATATTATAGAGTACAGTTATGAACGTCTGGATGGATCGGTTCGAGGGGAGGAGAGGTTCCTTGCTGTTCAGAACTTTAATAAGAACACAGAGACATTTGTATTTCTGTTGAGTACCAAGGCTGGGGGACAGGGGCTGAATCTGGTGGCGGCTGACACCGTCATTTTTGTGGACAGTGACTTCAATCCTCAGAATGACCTTCAGGCTGCTGCCCGGGCTCACAGGATTGGACAGACAAGGTTTCTACTATTTTTTTATCAGGCTATCTTAAAATTGTATAAGATTTTCTGAAATTTAAATCTTTGAATTGGAATTGGATGACATATACTGTTTTAAGTGCAGGTTTGTTGGCCTCCGTTGTATTGTGTTTTTTTGATGAATGGTAGGTCGGCAGGGGATGGTCACTCCTCCATGGCACCTGATCCCAAATCTAATGTTTAAGAGTTCTGTGTTTGCTTTTCTTTTGATTTGTATTGTTTGACTTGACTTTTTAGTTTGAATGCTGTTCATTATCACCATATATTTCATTGTGCTAACTTTATCAGAATTAATTTAAAAAAGAAAAAAAATTATTTTTAGGCCAGTGAAGATTATACGGTTAGTTGGCAGACACACTGTGGAGGAGATAATCCTAAAGCGAGCGGAGGACAAACTGAAGCTGACAGAGAAAGTGATAGAGGAGGGGGAGTTCTCCCTGGGGCTCAATAAACAGTCCCTCATCTCTGATGAACATGTGCCAGTATGTACAGTTTATCTTCATGTTGTTGGGAAAACTATGCACATGCCCACTATCATTTCTTGTTTTATGTCTCTTTTCAGCAATAAGCTTAAATTTTTTCTTTTATTCAGAATTCAGAAACAAAAAAATTGTTAATTTAAAAGAGCACATTCAAGTTAATAGCCAGCCTTCTTACAAATACGCAGTCATTTTTAGAGTCCACATGGACATTAAATACATGAAATTAAAGTTATGATACATTATTTTACTTGTGGATAATTTTTTCTGATTCCCTTAGCTACAAGACATTCTGAAGTATGGTGTAGATAATCTGTTGAATGAAGATGACTCTGATGACATTGACATTGACTTCACCAAAATCCTCGGTCCGTCTGTCAATGGTGAATGGCAGTTAGAGGAGGAGCCATTAGTCAGTGACGAACAAGAGGTATATGGTCCTTCCAGTTCTACATTAATATTCTAAGAATATTTAAAAATTTTAAAATATCTCATATGATGAAGTCCTTTCCTTTAATCATAGAACAATGCTGGTTTAATAGAAGATGGTTTCATGAATTAGCATTCAGTATACTGTCCTGCAATTTATTTATTGTGGAAAAGGATGTGGAGTTTAGGGCACCATCCATTTTGTATGAGTTTGAGGAGTAGATTATTTGTGAATATGCTGTCCTATGTTTTATTTTCTGTATAGAAGGATCAGGAGTTAGAGGAGGGTCCGTCCAGTATGTATGAGTTTGAGGGGGTGGATTATACCAAGGAACCCTCAGCAGCTGACATAAAGGCCTTTGAAGACCTTCTTTCAAGTGGGTAAAATATTATATTGTCATTAATGATAAAACATATACAGCCAAGCTTTGATGCAATGTAATCAGCTTTTATTTTGAAGAAAATTGTCAAGATAAATGCAGAGTCCAGATTACTGAAACGAAACTTTTTAATTGATAAATAAGAAAGTTATAATTCTGTTCCTGAAACATTTTGATGCAAACATATTGCATTAATTATTGGCATCTGAACCATTATCAATATGAGAATTAATATTTATTTGAAAATCATAATTGTTTGATATAATGAGTATTTGCACATTTTGCTACTTGATTTGACAGGAATAAATCTCTATTTTGCAGCTGAACAGCTGATAACGGAGGAGGAATTTTCAGGTGAGAGGTCACTGAGGAGAAAACAATCTGTTCTACTTAGTCCACTAATGGAGACACCCAGTTCCAGAAAACCCAAGAAACCACTCACCCAGGAGGAGATTGATGAGAGAAACAGAAAGGTTTGTCATCTAAAAGGGATTTTTGTGTCAGTGAAGCTGTGTTGATTGATATGAGTTTTATTCTTTGGTGCATCATTTCCCCTTAATTTTAAGAACTTTGAGAATTTTGAGAAGAATTTGAGATAAAAGATCTTATAAGACTTGCTGTTTGCATGATATTAAAAAATGAAATGTGCTTTTGATTTTAGTTGTTAATGAATTGGGTGGAGGATAAAGTAAATTTTGCATTGCATTGTGGAGGATAAAGTAAATTTTATTGATGATAACTGAAGATTATTCTATCTATAGAGAAAGGAGACAATGGAGAGGAAAGCTAAGGAGGCAGAGGAACGAGCCAAGAAGAGGGTTGAACAGCAGAGGAAAAAACTGTAAGTCCTCGGTCAACTTAGCTGTGTCCAGGATTTACATGGGCAGGCGGAAATATAAACATCCATTGAAAGTCACTAAAAATGCATCATTTTTACTGAAAATTTGATTTTCAAATAAATATCTGTAGAAGAAGTAAAATTATTTAATAAATAAAATACAATTTTCTCTACCATGTTATTTCTTTCTCCTTCCAGTGAAGAACTCTGGAAAAGCAACAGTTATGTGTGTAGCTGTGTGAGGTTTGACAGTGAGGATGAGGACACTGAAGAAGAAGAAGATTCAGGACTTGGACTGGGTGAGGAGGAGGAGGAAGGGGGACAGAAGAGTCACGCCATACACTACGTCAGCGGGGACGTCACTCACCCCATCAAAACCAGGAACAGTGTCAATCTCATCATTCACTGTGCAGGTAAGAGTTATCCCCCTTATAATCTGATTAGTGATTTATTATTTGTAGCAGAAACATTTCTTTCCCTTATAAACTGTACAATGCTTCATTGCTGTCAATGCAAAAGTTTCCTCTTGATTCAGTTTGTAGGGAAGAGTTCTTCCCCTTAATCCTTTCTGTGTTTTGTTATACCACTTATTTCCATTGTTCATTTAGCTAGAGTATGTTTTGTATGTCATAGTTATTGTTCATATGGCAGATAAGACAACCCCTTTCCTGTTTAATCAAATGTGGTTTTATTGTTTTAGGAGTTCTCCCTTCTATAATCCGTAATGAAATGATTGTTCACTCTAAATAAAAGTTGTTTCCCTTAAGCTGCACAATGGTTTAGTATTTTCTTTGCTAGTAAAAGTTCTTCCCTGTATTTGTTACCTGGTAATATAGTAGAAAGATAAAAACTTTACACTTGATTGATTTGAAAGTCCCATCCTTTACAATCCACTTCTAAATCCACTGTGATTTATTTGTTCAATACAATACAATCAAGAGTTTTTCTCCTCATTATAATCATTAGCAAATCAGAACTGTCATCTTTCATTGTGAGTGAGGGCCCCCATCTTTTGATCTACCGAGATCTATCATTCACTTTGTAAAGAAAATTGTTTAAAAATCCTTTGTAATCTATATTGTTCTTTATTGCTTTTTATGCACATAAAAGTGCTTTCCTTTTGAATTTTATTGTGGTTCCCTGTTCTCTATAAAGATCAGAGTCCCTGACCTTGTAAAAGTCACAGTTTCTTCTTTATGATCTGTACTATGTTTTCCTCTGTAATACCTTTGTTGTTTCTTTCTTCTATTTTCTTTGTTTTGTTTTTTTAAAGAAATATACATATAACCTCAAATGTGAAAATTATTGTTTACATAGAAAATAACAAACTGAATGTGAGATTGATATCATTCAATTTTGAATTGAAACAATGATATTGAAAAGAAACAATTTTTAAAACTGGCATTATATTCTCATAAATAAAAAATTAACAATATTAAAATTGAAATTTTGCTTTTCCTTTCATCTAATATGATTTTTTTATTTAGATGATTCTGGCTGGTGGGGTAAGGGTGGAGTGTTTACAGCGATCTCCAAACGAAGTCACTCTGTGGAGGAACAGTACGAACTGGCAGCTAAAATGAAAGGTTTGTGGAAAGATCATACAAAAAATATTGAGAACAAAAGATATCCTTCTATTTAGTTACTATCAAGGTTTTAATTTTTTCAGACATACATGTAGGAGATTGTCACCTTATTTCTATGGAGGAGGAAGATAAGTCAGGAGAGGTGGAAGACTGGGTGAGTATCCTCCATCCTTAATCCCACATCCTCCTTCTCTATCTCAATAAGTTTTATTATCACATAAGGTGGAGCTTTGAAAGCTATATAAGATTATAGCCTAGTACATATAAGTAAAAGCTTAGACAGTAAAACTTAGATATGCTGAAACAAGCTTTAAGAAAATGTGCTGATTATGACAGATAATCTAAGATGTGATTGCTATTAAATTTATTAAACCAAACGTTTTAAAGTACAAGTCTTTTCACAGATGTGTCTTCTCATAGCCCAGCACAGGGACAAGAAGAATAATACTTTATCAGGGATCAAGTTATCTGCCTTAAACGAGGGACTCAAAATGGTGTATAAGTTGGCAAAAGTTCGGAAAGGTATCACATGTGATTCATTCATCGCAATGTTTTAAACCTTAGAAAGCTCACGATGGCTGTCAATGTTTTATCATGATACAGTAAAACATACTTATAGCAAACAGGCTTATAATGAATTGATGCTTATAATGAAGTGTATTTATTCCCTTTGACATTAAAAGATATCAAACATGTACTGGACAAATTATCCTTTTTTTTTCTCTCTCTCTCATTGCACTTCATTAAAAGCATGTTTTACTTTATTGTGCTTTTAGTTTAAGAATTTTTATAGATAGATAATTCTTTTCTTTAAAGCTAGTGTTCATCTGCCGAGAATCGGCCATGACACCCCGGGATTTAACTGGTATGGTACAGAGAGATTAATCAGGAAGCACCTGGCAGCCAGGGGAATCCCCACTTATATGTATCCTTTGTTTATAGAGATCTCTGTAGGAGGATATAAGAGTTCAAAAGACGTGACTTAGAGTTAAAAGCATTGAAATAAGCCTGATTGCTATCAGATGATCACATCATATTCATATCTAGTTTAGAAGTGTTTTTATAAACACATACAGGTGCTGTTGTCTCATGAATATTGTTGTAAACTGTTCACTCTTTTCATTTTGTTTGTAAAATCTTTATTTCAATTATCTTTAATTTTTTTTCACAAATGTGGTAAATTAGCACTTTCACACAACTTAAAGCTCTTATAAATTTCTTTTAAAATTAGAGAATATGGTGTTTCCACTGAGCATTGACTCTTCTGGTGGGAAAAAAAAGTTAATTGAAAAATGGTACTTCTATTCTGTCCTTATGATACAGTTGTAGCATTTTCAGATCAAGAAAAACAAAAATATTTACTAATACATTTAAATATATTTCTTCTATCCTTAATGCAAGTACAGCTATTATTATCCAAGAAAACAGAAGGGGATGAAGAGAAAAAATGATGATTCTCACAACACAAAATCCCGTAAGTCTCTGTGTAAGTCCAGTCTAAATGTTTATGGAAAGAAATGTTTCTGAATTAACTTAAACAAAATTTTCCATCAAGTTCAGAATATAAAAGAAGAAATATCCTTTTTCTTAGCCACTGAAATACTGTAAACCATGGGGACACGTTTGTCAGGATCTTTTAAATGAATACTGCCACCCCTCCTATCAATGCAAATACCCATTTTTTACCGACATTTATTAATGGAATTTTGTAGGAACAGTTCATATTTACACATCCTTTTCTAAAACTGAGGACTTTAAATGTCATCACGCATTTCCTTTCTGTACACAGCTAAGAAGAAGATGAGTCCCAGTACCAATGCCATGAATGGTGGCTCCAGCAGTAAACTGCCTGATTTATTTACGGGAATGTGTATTTACTTCCATCCCTCAAACTTCAGTTCAGACAAGCTGAAGCAGTACAGGAGACAGATCATTGCATATCCTTTACACATCCATCATCTCAAAACAGCATTCTGGGAATTTCTCAAGTAACAACCTGCAAGGTTTCATTTGGATTTTATTTGAATTTTATTGACAAAAATTATCTCATGTCATTTAACCTAGATTTAGGGGTTAGAAATGATTTAATTTTTTTTTTAAAGATGAAATATTGCAAAAGTATGCACAGTAAAGAAGCAATTGCCACACCAAAAATTTATTTAATGGTTGTTTTAAGAATCTCTTTTGATATAAGTATACATGCTTTCAATTAAGACCAGTTGGAGCTCTAATTATTCTTTTATTATTTTTTTTCTAAAAGATTGCAAGTGTCAGATGTATTGGAGCTTAAATTTGCTGCTAATCAAGAAAGTAGAGCAACAAATTGACATTTCTTACATTTTACCTTAAAAAAAAATTGATGTTCTTTAATGTGCAATATGTGTATGTGTTATAAAAAATGGTTTTAAATGCTTTAATGGTTGAAGATCAACTGTTATATGTGACAATGTATTTTTTGTTTATTTATTACTACTGTATATCACTTAAGTTTCGGGACACCTTATTTTCTCGAGATAGCTATTGACTCTTTATTAGCGAGACAAAATTTTCACGAATTTTGGTCATTGCTCTAAATAATCTTAAGTATTCTATTATATGCAAGAAGGAAATTTTTGAGAGCATACCGTCTCGCGTAATTACGCGAAAATAAAGTTCTCGCTAATAAAAAGTGATTTACAGTATGTAGTTATTGAAATGTCCTTAACTGTTTTACTTATGATGGTGATGTTGTCAAGGAATTTTCCTCTGATGTCACCCGTGTCATAGCTGATTCTAACTGTGATCAGGTAGGTAGTGAAAACAGAAATCACATTCTCCTAGACAAACTATTATAATGTCTTTTTGGGGAAGCGTGTGCCTTTTATATCATTATCTATCTACAATTTAAAAAATTGGCAGTGTGTCTTTCAATGAGATGTCAAAGATCTGTTTAAATTGTATATTATAACTATTATAGTTAGATGACCGTTGTAGATATATTTATGTGTTGTAAATGTATTTGACTATTGTAGACGGCAGCTTCATGGTTGAAATCTAATGTGTCATGCCCGGTGGTGACACCTGATTGGCTAGATTGCTGTCTACGAAAGAGGAAGATTGTTCCCACCCAGTCCTACATACACCCCTCCTGTGATGGAAGCTGACACAATAAAGTTTTAGTTTAGAGAATGAAGATCCTCCTCAACATCTCTTCTTGATGTTTCCTGGTCATATACCAAGGATGACAGTAGTGGACTGCTAGTCTTATTAGTGCTTTGAGATTAGTTGTACTAACATTTTAAAATTCAGATCTGTGATATTAGTGTTAGAGTATTTTTAAATGTTCACCTAAACCATAGGCTCAGTTTAATGTTTTTTGATCCAAATTTGTCCATCATCTATCTTTTTGTTAACTATATGTATTTATTCAAATATTTAACTTCTGTACACTGGGATAGTTTTACACAAAACATAAAAGCTATAGATGAGGGGTTTGTCTACCCTTTGGAGCTTTGATCTGACGATAATATGAGAACAAATTAAGCGAAATAAATACAGGCAGATATATCAATTCTTTCAAAATTTCATTATCAGTAAAGCAAGTTTATAATTGCCTACTGGGTATTTATATTAATAATTGCAAAATCTAAATTTAGTGACAGATAGTTTAGATGACTAGTTCCTAATTTATACAAATCATGGTTTAAAGTTCTGTCCATAAAAAGAGGTAATTTATTTTGAACATCTACCGGTATATACACTGTAGATGCCAACAAGAGAAACAAGGCTACAATTTCATATCAGATTTAAAGACTCAATAATAGAATATTAGTTTGATATGTTAAAAGGGTTACTTTTATTACTATATATTCATTTGTCATGAAGAGAAAAATGATTCAGGTGGGCAGTGTAGACTATGGGCCTCTTGTTTAAGGGTATATGTTTTATCGACTTGATGTCTCTTGTTTTTTGTGAGACTTGTTAAATATCAGTTATCAGGGTAATACTGTTCTCAAAATAAAATGTGTGACTACAATCTGACACACTTGAGTTTATATTTGTTATTTTGTTAATAACAATTATTATATACTAGTACTTGTATACACATATACTTTTCATGGTCAGTGTGGAAGCATGACTTTATAAATCTTGTCCTGTCTTGCACTCTTTATTTCTGTCAGATTATATTTTTCTCTTGTAAGAACAGGATCATCAATCCTAATGAATATTAATGTAAAAGAGTTTAGTGTCTCAAAAATAGGTCACTGTGACCTCATTTTGAAATTACCCTTGGTATGTGCAAACTCAGATGACAGTATTACTGTAAATGTATTATATTTGGTGTGTATGATATTTGGCAGAAATTCATTTTTCAACAAGTTAGTGTAAATTTGATTTTAATGATGTAGCACTATCAGAATCTGCTAGATATCAATTTACTGGTATGATATACAAGAATTTAGCGATGAACTTGATTCAGGGGACTCTACTTTCCACCAAAATCACTAAGTAGAATACAGTGCTGAATGTAATACAATTACAGTATTTCTGTCGGTCCTATGGAAAGAGGTTAATTTGAGCAGTGAGTAAATCTCATCAGCCAGTATACCCTCATTTGGATTTTTCTTTGTCATTTTAGCAATGGTATTCAAATCACATGTTGCATGCTGTGGAGCATAAGTTCAACAAACTTGATTGAATTCTTTTGAATGAAAATGAATTCCAGCAGATTGAAGCTACAAAACCTGTAACATGGTTACCCAAGTAAATCATGAACCTTAAAAGATGAAGGCAGACATACAATTTTTTTCTGTGTCAGGTTTTGATGTTGCTTGCAATTGGAGGTGATCTTGAATGATCCTTCAAATTTAAAATCAAAATATCGTTTAGCGTTTTTAATGGCTGAGTTTGAATGATGGTTTAGTAACTGCCCTTCTATATAATGTCAGGTATGTTCATCTTTTTTAAAGTTTAAAGTAATTCAAGAAATTCTTTTGCTACTAGAATTGCCTCTTAAAATAACCTGCTTTGATGGATTAATAGGGAAGGAGGATATATAATTATCATGCTGCAGTGCAGGCAGGTTAAAAGGGAAATGCTGTATTTTTTTAGGGGTTTCTTGTTTTTCAAAGCAAATTCCTCCTCCTCTTAAAGCAGCTATAATTATAATTTATGTCAAGAAACAGACAGACCAACAACCAATACCAGCCTCTTTCCTACTTATATACAGACCCAACGAAACATTAAATCTTGCCTGGAAATTATCATTTTTAGATAATTTGTAATGACTTCCTATGTTCAAAGAGAATACACAGTAGGATTTAATTGGTTTGAAGGGTGGGGCATGATTAAGTCGTTTGAACATAATTATATTTTAATACTCTGAAAAGAGATACGAGTTTTTAAATATACTACAGAATTGGTGATATCTGGGTTAGATTACTGTTAATAACTATGTTGTGATTAATATCCATTTTTTATTTAGAATTGCAAGTTCTGGCTCACTTACCGCAGATTGCTTTGGTACTAGAATTTTTAAATCAATTTTAATTACAGTTAAATTTTTTTTTGTCTTTTTTTAAGGCTGGTGTCTCATAAATGGTACTTAATCCTTTTGCATAAAAAGTGTTATTCCAATTTTTTTACTTTAACTTTCATCAAATACTAACCATAAACCAATCTATGGCCTAACTTTTTAGTGTCAAATTATTTCTCAGGCTTGCATTGTTTAATTTATCGCGGTATAGGAAAACATGGAAACTTGTGGCTGACATGGACTTCAATTTTTATTTTTATATTTACGGTGAAATTCTACATTAAAAATAAACATTTATACAAACTAAAGACTTTCGAAACATGAACTTTACTCTGGCTTTTACTAGGTTATAAAATCAATGAGCTAAATATGATATAAACGGTAATGGAAATCTGTAAAAACGTTTTATTTAAAAAAATTATGACACATGTTCCATACTTTTTAATCGTCACAAAAGTTTACATTCGGACGACAAACACATAGTATTTAAACAGAAAGGATATGAGCTGTGTATCTGAATTTTTGAAATATAGCGCGATACAATGGAACCCGCGATATAATGAGAAGCGAGTATATATGGATATTGTGTCTGGGCCGTAGTGTTCAAAATGGGGGATTGTGGTTCTGCATAATTCTAATAATTTCATTATTATAATAAATGTTTAAATGAAAACAAATTAACAACAGATTATTATTATAACATACAACATGTATGCACGTGTTCATTTTCACAAAACTGACACTGGCTGAAGTTTTCATATAACACAGACATGTAGTATTTTTGATCGATATGCCATATCAGCAATAAAATGGAGGGGGTTGGGGTTTGTTTCACCAGGTGCATGAGAAATTTATCGGTCTTTTTGGACCAGCAAAGATCCAATATCAATATTTTATTCATAATTAATTATTCGTCCAGATGTCGTTTACTTTACGACACGAATACAACCTTTGTTTTTTTCTGCATTAGAAATCTGATTTCCCTTATTCTTTATGCTGAACATGGCTATCTCATTCACGCTTGTATCTATGGACTTAATGATAAATCGAAGTGACATAATTTAGCCATTAAAGCATAGCTGATTTCTGAGTTTTTAGACAAAAAAATAATATTCTATTAATATCTGGATATTTTATTCAATTTAGATGATTAAATAAACATAAGGGAATTGGAAAACCAATAGTGTTCTAGCGGAGAATACATGTTTTATCGCAAAATGAACAAAAACATAGGTCGTCCTTCCGTAAATTCTTATTGATAGCTTTGTGCGCGACTTCGGGAGCTAGTAATTTGACACCAGAGTGTTAATTTCCTCTGTAAAAGGATTCTATGTTAATTTTTAATAGGAAATCAATTGAAACCAATTTCATTGTCACGTACTGACAGTTCACAATATGTAGTATATGTAGAATAGTGTATAGCTATCATAGTTTTATTAAGTACTTTGTCCTGTGACACGATAGGGTCTTATGGTAAACCATCATCCTACTTCCTATATATATATTTTCTAAAAATACCCTGGACCTGAAAATATACATACATGTACTCTGTATAACCCCCCCCCCCCCAAATAAAAATACAAAGAATGTTTATGACCTCCTCTCTCTCATTCTCTCTCTCTCTCTCATTGAAATTACAGTGCTAAAATATTGCTGATTCTAAAGATGTTGATAAAGAATTATATAAACAAAAAGTCTTCTTTATCGAAAACAAACGGCACATACGATCTTAAACCCCGTGCTCTGACCCTAGGCCGATATTTCCCGTTTCGTTTCTTTTTAATCTGTAATCATGTGCAATATATCTCAAACTTTGAAATTCTAAGCGTTTTTTCGGAGACCCGCCCTATCAGTGGGTATTTTTAAAAATAACAGAAAAGCACGATTTTGAAATCTAGGCCACTTTAATCTGAATTTATAAGCACTTAGCACACTTATGTAATTCCTATACGCTTGTTTCGTGACGTCGTGTATATTCGAAGATGATGAACTTCCTCCAATAAAATTATACTTCTTTGAAAAAAGTTTCCGCAATATGTGATATGCAACGGGTGCTCCCACGCACAGAAATACCCAGTAATTTTATGTTAATTATTAAGTATTTGACTTAATTGTGAACAGGCAACAATATGATTCGTGAGAACTATTAAACTAATTATTTGAAAATTGGGTCAACAGATGAAGGTGCGGGTTGGGAGGGGTTACATATTGGTTATATATAAAATTCCACAAAATGTTAAATATTTTAAACAATCTTTCATTTTACTATAGTAACAGTGCTGTATTTTGAAGAATTCAGTATATTGGTATTGGTATATTGGTATTTAATCATTTTCACTTCATCTAAACTTTCTGTGCTAACACAATCATGACATTTATTAAGTATACAATACCGTAACTTTTTCAATCATGAGGGAATTGCATGGACTACACACTTAAGTTAAAGTCTTTGTGATATTTTTGAGATCTATTTTGCACAAACTGCTGATACTTGTTAGCAAAAAACTGATTTAGTGAGGTTTATCACGTACACAAAAAATCATAGATAAGATAAATCCAGAAAAAAAATTATTTTCTGCAATTTAATCGCATTTCCGCAAGCGGTCACATTCTGAATCTAAAGTTTCATCGGATGAACATTTCCGCTCTCTATCAGATGATATACCTGCAAGTTACATCTCTATTGGAACCTATTTTGAAAATCATGAGCCTAATTCATTAGATTCTATCATAACAGAAAAAGAAGTGGAAGAATGTATAAAAAAGTTGAAGTGTAATAAAAGTTGTGGAAGTGATTTAATAATCAACGAATATATCTTGTCGTTAGAGAAATCTAATACCTGGAATCGTTATCAATAAAATTCGGGCACATTTCCAAAATTGTGGTCACAAGCAGTTATAATACCTATCCATAAAAAGGGCAGTATATCTGATTACAGAGGCATAAGTATTACTAGTAGCCTTGGAAAATTGTTTACTTCTATTTTAAATGAAAGGATCGCTTCCTGGAACTCCGAGGAGTCAATTATTACAGATGCACAATTCGGTTTTCAAACGCTCTACTGTAGATGCCATATACAAAGTTTGATCGCTCAAAAATTAAATAAAAAACAACGTCTTTACTGTTGCTTCATTGATTACAAAAAAGCTTTCGATACCATTAACCGGGATAAATTATGGCACAAGCTCATCAAATTAGGGATTACTGGAAAACTCATTAGGATCATCCAATCATTATATTCTGATGTTCGAGCCTGTGTGAAACATGCCGGCCAAGTATCGGATATATTTAGTGTTAAAAATGGTTTAATGCAAGGAGAAGTTCTATCACCAATCCTATTCAACATGTATGTGAACGACCTTGAAAATCATTTTATAAGTGAAAATTCTCCATCAGTGGAATTGCGAGAGCTTAATCTATTCATTTTAATGTTTGCTGATGATACAGTAATATTTGCCAGTTCACCCGAGGAGTTGCAAGCAATGCTCGATTCTCTGTATCGTTATGTTTCTACATGGGACCTG